GGCCACATTTGCGATAGCACCGACTGCTTCACTGCACGCGACAGCACTGACTGCTTCACTACACACTACTTCCACCTGTCATGGTGGAGCGGTGACCTCAATGGCCCCAGCACAGTGATCTCAACAAAACTGGCCCACCTCGCACTGTTGAGGGAGACCTCTGGAGGAGATGGTGCGCATATGATTGACGTCGCAGGTGCCGTATGGCATGCTGCGGAGAGGCGGATTGGACAGCAGTTTGATTGTTGCTATTGCAGCATATGAGACCGAGAAGGCCACACTCGCACAGGTTGAAGCACGCAAATGCAAGCTAGCTGAGATGCAGAACGGTCCACCTTCGCCTATCGGGTTAATCTCACCGAAAATGTGTATGATTGGAATTTTCCCTGCAATCATTCAGTACTGCTGACGATGTTTTTACAGCTACTGTCATGTCATGACCGCCATTGCACTGTTTCTCAATCATTCTCAAGAACCACCAGATCTTCTCACAGCTCGCAAAGTGGTGCATCCCTTGAGATCGAATATCACAAATACATCTTCACCATGCAGGAGGGCCTTGATACTATACTCGACATCATTTACCCCATCTCGAAGCCTTCGACGTGACCACAGCCCGGGTGAGCACACCGATATACTTACTTAGCTGCTAGATCAAGGCGATGGGTGCCAAGATGGTGCTCAGCAGCAAAGGCAGCAATGGGAGTTTCTCAGAGTGTTTCTCAGAGTGTTTCTCAGAGTATAATCGTTGTTCAACCTGTTCTGCCAGAATTCAAGTGTAGAATTCAAAAGGAGCCTTCGCCAGATACTATCAGTTAGCTTTTCTGTTGCCCCTTTCTGGCTAGTGGGGGAAACAATGGTGTGGTCTATGCTGCCCAGTTCGTGAACACACACGAAACGATCCTCTGTCACTCGGACTGATAGTCTGCCATATACCAGAATGATGACACATGGCAATCTCTACACCTCATCATCAGAGCTTGCTTATTGCACTGGACATTGTGGCACCTTCGGCTCACAAATGTGAAGATGAGGAGGTGGCAGCAGAAGAACTGGATGTTATCAACCAGGAAGCAGAAACTGCAGCTGATGATGCGATTGCGATGCCTCACTCATATTCTGCCTCCAACTTGCTAACGGAAATCATCCTTCCTCCATGGACCGATTCACCCTCGGATCATCTCTTCACTTCCACTGCCTCCATGCTAGCCCTTGCCTCCATGCTAGCCCATCCCTATATGTGGTTCAGGTCACGGCACCTTGTTCATTTTGGCGATTGTCATTCCAGAGTCCATACTGACCTGCG